ATACTGGAAACACAATTTGATGTTTGTGATCATGATCAAGATCATGGCTGTGTTGTGAAAATCTTACACTAGTCTTTCTCATATAACACAACAGGCTTGATTTGACTGGCGGTTGTCGTAGAGGTTAAAACAGTCCGCTGTAGAGCAGTCGCATCCAAGGAGCGTTTTCTTCTGTTATAGATGCTGCTGACTTTCCTCTTGAAATACTTTCCTGAGCAAACATACAGCACCGGATTGAGGCAGCTGTTTGAGAATGCAAGGTACACAGAAAACTGGCTTCCGATGTTTAGAAAGTGAGACCACTCATTCTCATCCAAAACCTTTAGATCACAGAGTAAGTCTAGCAAAGTCACGAAGTGAAACGGACCCCAGCAGATGAGGAAGAGCAGGGTGACGGCGCACACCAGGGCCGTAGCCTTCTTGTCGTTTCTGTCCTCACAATAACCGATGTGTCTCCGTCGCTTCAAAGCCCGGATGATATTGACGCAGCAGAACGTGATGACCAGGATCGGCAGAGCAAAGCCCACCAGGTTCAACTGCAGAAGATGAGCGAGTCTCCAACTTGTGTTGGGATAATCCAGGTGGCATTCGACGGCTCGGTGACCTGGAATATCTTTCAGTTTTCGTATGCAGGCTGTCGAAGCTCCCATTCCCACACCGAACAGCCAAAGAACGACACAAATGAATTTGGCGTAGCATTTCCGACGAAGCCACATGGCCTTCATGGTCAAGGCGAGTGCGAGGTAGCGGTCCACGTTCACCATCACTAGCATGTAGATGCTGGTGTACATGTTGACGTTGATGGAGAGGTTGACCACCTTGCACATGATCTCTCCGTAAGACCACATGAAATAGTTCAGGATGTTCATGGCCCAAAACGGCAGACAGACTAGTAGGAGGAGGTCAGCCAGCACCAGATTACCAAGATAGATCTCAGGCACGGACCAGCGGCTTCCCTGGAACAGAAACACTAGCAGTACGAAAAAATTTCCCACAATTCCTGTCAAGCACACTGTGAAGATGTACGGTGGAATGATGGAGTAGACTAGATCCCACTCTGTTGAGTTGAAAAAATCCAGGTATGCTGGGGTGACGAATGCATTTGGAGGCTGAAGCGTCGCCAAGGACTCAAGCTCTTCTGGCTGCATCCTAGAAGATAAAAAAACAAATTACTAAAATAATTAAAACTGAAATAAAAGTGAATAAAAAAACTATATAGGCTTTCAAAAACGAATAAAAATTACAAAAACACAACAAAACTTAAATTTTAAATTACAATGAAAACAGAAAATATAAAAACTAATTAAAATTTTTAATACAAATTACAATAGTATATCAGTGATCATAAACTTTCTGAACTGACATCCGAAATTTGGTGTCTCATCTATTCCAGAGTGACACTAAAAATTATTTAACTTTACAATGTGTGAATGCGATTGCATTAGATATAAAATATCAAAATGGAAATGTATTAAGTTTATAATAATTTAAATTTGGGAACCGCTGTTTTAGAACTTTAGTTTGTGTAACTATTTAAAAAAAATGTAGCCTACTTCTGCTGATGTACATTTGTTCAGATTTGGGGTCTAATCCAAAAATACTTCAAAAAAAAAAAAAAAAAGGACTCTTAGCTTTATAACGTGTCATTTATTGAAGGGATTTTTTGTCATCCAATCCACTTTGATCTAAAATATTTTCTTGAAGTCACCCGAGATAAAAATTATTATTTAAATTATTAAACAACACATATGCATGCTCATGATTCCCTGATGTTGGTTAATCGCCCCATGACATACAGGTAAACAAATAAAACATGTAATATTTTTTATTAACAGTTTTATTTTGAATGTTTTTATTTTAAAATTAATTTTGATTTGACATTTTTCTGATTTAATCAATTACTAGCTTTTCATCAGCTCATGATTCCCAATTTGGGGGAATTTAACTTGACATTATTGTAAAAAAAATGCACAAACAATTTAGAAGCAAAACATTTAATAAAAAAAGGTTTGTTCGGTTTGAAATGGTAAAGAAATAGATCTAGTGTTGAAAATGAAAACACAATTAATTGTGTCTATACCTGATCTAATGCAATGATGAAATTGTGACTGAAGCATCCAAAATACTTCTTGAAGCCACTTTGAATCATATATCGTATATACTTACCTTACGTTTTCTGTGTTTTTCTGGTGGACTGATATTCCTGGCTTTCTCCTCACCTCACAATCTTCCTGTTCTTGCAGAAGGAGCGTTCAGTAAGAGACAGAGAACAGCTCAGTCTTTACAGCCTCATTCCTCCAGAGCCATTGAGCGGCTGCTGAGCCTGAATCTGTTTATACTCAGACTTTCTCTTCCCTCCACTGAAGAGAGACAGATGAAGACTTCAGAGTAATGCAAACATAATGTCTGTGTGCCAAAATCTGATGCGCTGCTGGACTTATTTGCTTGTTTCCTTCATAGAAAGTATCATAAAATAATACTAATAGTACATTTAATACTAAAAATGGCAGTGAAGCAGTGTGACATTTTTGTCTTCTGTATTTATTATACATGCGGTTTTTATGAGCTCATATAACTAGATACAAATGTTTGTCAAGACAAACTTTGGTATTGGCTTGACAAAGCCTGAAAGTTTTAAGTTTGAAGGTTTTTTAGTTTGAAGTATTTTGAAGTTTGAAGGGTTTGAAGGCCATACAGTCTATCAGAAAAAAACAAACAAACAACAAAAAAAACATTGATATTCTGGATGGTTGCAAAACGATTGCTATGCAGGTGGATAATAGATTATATATTGATAAAAACAGATATGGATTGAGAGACAGACAGTCAGAAAGATTATATAATGGCAAAGATAGATAGATAGATAGATAGATAGATGTAAAAGGTTTCAGCTATATAACATACACTTGTAATGCAGCATATCTACCGCAGAGGGCGATCTGAGTCAACCGCTTCTGCAGACACTGTATGACTGTAACTGTCAGATAAGTTCTGTATTCACAAAAACTTAGTTGTGATGCTCTGGCAGAATAACTAATACTAGTAACATTATCACAACTAGTCTTCACTTGATATTTTGAGGAGTAATATTTTTTATATTTAATATGGAATGCATTTATGAAATGTCAGTAGTGATTATTTACCTTGGATGTTAGCCGTGCAGTTCTGTTGACAACATGAGATCAGATTCTGTATACTTTGCAGAGCTGTTAAACCAGTGTTATTTTAGTACAGTTGAGATACTATCACAGCTTTTATTAATATTTTAGTTTTGTTTTTATTTAACAAACATATTTTATACTTTTTTTAATGTTTTAATTTCTTTTTTAATATTTTAGTCATTTTGTTTTGTGTTTTTGTCATTTTTAGTAGTTTTTTTAAATTTTTATTTTATTTTTTTAAATTCAGTTTTAGTTTTTGTTGATCAAGTTAAACTAAATTAGAAATGTTGCCTTGGCAACTAGCTGAAATAAAAAGTTTAAACTTTTTTTGTTTGTTTTGTTAAATAAAAATAAAAAAATTGTTTAAGGTCACCAATGGGGTGATTACTTTTTGTTATGTTTCTTCAATTCTCTGAATATATTGTATTTTGTATATATATAATAACCAACATATCTGGATTAAAGACTTAAATCTGAACATAAGTGACCTTGCTTAAGTTTACAGAACCTCATGGCTCATTACTAAAAGTGGAACTGTACATTTCTGAGAGTAAAACTCATTTCTAACTGATAGTTCACTCAACCCCTTACCTAGGGTGACCATATGTGCAGTTTTTCCCGGACACGTCCAAGTCAGGATTTGTATATTGCACCTCAGACAGGTAAAAAATACCGCTGAAAATAAAATCCACGGGGTTAAAGTGTTGCATGCAAATGTTTGAAGCGCTGGCGATGCAGCCAAGAGATGTTATTTTTAAAGAAGGAGGTTTTGTTTTACAGACTATGATGAATTTATACCACTAATATATGCTTTAGTTGAGGGAATGCTGTCAGATTACAGTACAGCCACCCATCCGCAATCATGAAGGTCCCACCACTCTGTGTTACCAACCGCAGTCCTCTGAAAAACATGTCTGGCCATTGAGAGATCGCTGGAAAAACACTATTTAGGAGGTTGTTATTCATAGACACACAAAGAGGAACGAGTGAAGAGTCATTACTGGAAAGTCTGTTCTTTAAAAACCAACTAGTCATTTTCTTACACCGGAAACAAACAGACACAGTCTGCAGAAATCCCCGTCTGTCCGTCTCTGTCTGATATTTAACATGCATTACACAGACACAAAGTGCCATGATATTGCCATGTTTTTTGAACAAGTACCACAGTAGTGTCATTGTATTCTCTGCAATATTTTGTAAGGATAAATATATGTTTACATTTATTTAGCACACACTTTTATCCAAAATGACAAAGAAACATCTGTGCAACCTTGAGTTTTAAGTATAAATGTGATGTTTAATGTAATTGTACTTAATTTGGGATACTGAAGTTAACTCAAATTAAAACCATTTGTGCTACTTAAAATTAAAAATTTAAATAAAAGTTAATAAAACCATAAAAAAATAATAATAAATTGGCAAAAGCACAAAACTAAATGACTAAAACTTTAACTTAAAATGAAAACGTAAAATATAAAAATACAAAACTAATTCAAAATATTAATAAAAACTATATATAATAGTTTCACAGTGATACTAAAATAACACTGATTTGACTGTATTTTACTATTATTCCATTAATATCAGAGATATACAAAAACTTTCTTTACCAAAAAAACACCACAGACATTTCTGATTTTTGGCATCTCAAAACATAAAATGAAAATGTACATTTTTATTTACAACATTTCAAAATCACATCAAAATGACATATTAAACAAACAAAATAATATTAAACATATTAATTAACATATTAAACATACAAATAAATGATAACTTTAATGTGTAACTATGGACATTTTATACATAATGGCCTTAATATTTTGTGATGGTCTTTAAATTTGATGTAGGATTTACGCAAACAATTTTCACTCGATATGTGCTAGTAAATTTGACATAATTATGAAGAAACGGAAAATAACATTGAATTTAATGTGAAATAGAAAGACTGAAATAGCATTTTACAGCATAGTACATCAAACAAACATTATAAATTATCATTTTAATTTGTGCCTATGGACATTTAATACATAATGTTCTTAATATGTTGTGAAGGTCTTTAAGGTTGAGGAGAGCTGTGATCTTGTAGAACCGCTTGTCGAATCATTTTTATTCTCCTTAAGCTGCTTCATCAGCTCTATGACTTTCTTCCTGAAGTTCTTGCCCACGATCACGTAGAGTATCGGGTTCAACACGCTGTTGCTCAAAGCCAAGTAGGTGAATATCTGATTGGAGACGTCCAGACTGGATGAAAAGTCACATCCGCCGAAGACACCGAAGCGCATCAGGATATCCATGAGGGTCACGAGGTGGAACGGCACCCAACACAAGAGAAACACCATCAGCACCACCAGCACCAGGACAGTGGCTTTCCTTTCAGTGTTTTCCGCATTGAAGCGGTCGATGACCTGCTTGCGCAGAGCTCGGATGATCTTCAGAGTGCAGTAGGAGATCACCAAAAATGGGACGATGAAGCCTAGCAAGATGAGAAGAATGTCGCAAGCGAGGCCAATGTTGGGGTTCGGATAGTTCAGAATACAAGCCGTGATGTTCAGCTCCGGGATGAATTGAGTATCCCGGAAATGAAGCGTTGGGTAGTTGAGGATTAATCCGAAAAACCAGACGGCGATGCAGTTGAGCTTGGCGTACCGCGGTCGTCTCATTCTACCACGCGACAAAGCGTGGACGAGTGCGACATAGCGGTCGCCGCTAATCAACACTAGTAAGTAAATACTGCAAAGCATGCTCATTTTGATGCCTGTGTTGACTAGTCGGCACATGAGCGAGCCGAATCGCCAGTTAAACCCATCTGCAATGTTGATGGCCCAGAACGGCAAACACGAGACCAACAGGAGGTCGGCAGCCGCCAGATTCCCCAAGTAGATTTCCGCCACCGTACACGCTTTCTTATGCAGGCCGAAGACCAGCAGGACAAAGACGTTTCCCAGGATTCCCAGCACACAGATGATGAACATGTAAGCAGGCTGCATGATGTACAACCAGTCCCACACTTCCCAATGCGGACACTGGGTGTCGTTGGTGAGGTTGTTCCTGGAGACGGCCGTAGGGATTGTGGAAAGGATGGATGATGTTGTTACTTGTATGTCGTTCTCCATGTTTCTGTGGAGAGATGTTCAGTGTCAGTTTTTACTTTTAATCGTTTTAAAGGAAGTCTCTTCTGCTGCCCAAGGCTGCATTTATTTGATCAAAAATACATTAAAAACAGTAATATTGTGAAATATTATTATAATTTAAAATAATTGTTTTCTATTGTATTATATGTTAAAATGTAATTTATTTCTGTGATACGCAGCTGTATTTTCAGCATCATTACTCCAGTCTTCAGTGTCACATGATCTTCAGAAATCATTCTAATATGCTGATTTGCTGCTCGAGAAACATTTCTGATTATTATTAGTGTTGAAAACAGTTGTTCTGCTTCATATTTTTGTGGAAACAGTCATGCATGTTGTTTTTCAGGATTCTTTGATGAATAGAAAGTTCAAAAGAATATTTTGCAACTTTAAGTGTCGTCACTTTGAATACCTATTAGCAGTGTTCGGGGTAATTTTGTTAGCCCCAACTTTTGAATGGTAATGTATCACGGTTTCCACAAAAATATTAGGCAGCATGACTGTTTTCAACATTGATAATAATCAGAAATGTTACACCAAATACACAAAATAATGATCTTTAAAAAAGCATCATATGACCCCTTTAAAAGGTTTAGACTAGTCTTAGAAGTTAGTCATCAATTTTTGGTTTCTTTAAGACTGGTCTGTTTTTTTTTTTTATTCAGTTACATAAACTTAGATTAGTCTAAACTGAATCCCAAAAATAAGACTTATTGCCCTTTGGCTAACTGCTAGTTGGTCAGACTAGTTCTCAAGACTGTCTTAGAGGCTAAGTTTATGCAGCTGGCCCCAGCACTAAGTCTTATTTTTGTCTGTTTATCTCAGGATGTGAATTATGGGACTGTCTGAAACTACTAATTAATGTGTGAACTAATACACTAGCATGCAGAAGTTTGGGGTCAGTAAGGTTTTTAATGTTTTTGAAAGAAGTCTCTTCTGCTCGCCACGGCTGCATTTATTTGCTCAAAAATACCGTAAAAACAGTGAAATATTATTACAATTTAAAATAACTGTTTTCTATGTGAATATATTATAAAATGTAATTTATTTCTGTGATGCGCAGCTGAATTTTCAGCATCATTACTCCAGTCTTCAGTGTCACATGATCTTCAGAAATCATTCTAATATGCTAATTTGCTGCTCAAGAAACATTTCTGATTATTAGCAATGTTGAAAACAGTCGTGCTGCACAATATTTTTGTGGAAACCGTGATACATTTTATTTTTCAGGATTCTTTGATGAATAGAAAGTTCAAAAGAACAGCGTTTATGTGACATAGAAATCTTTTGTAACGTTATAAATGTCTTTACTGACACTTTTGATCAACTTAATCCAAGCTTTTCTGTTGTTTTTGTGCATTTTATTTTGTAATGCTGTAATGCATTTAATGCATTAATTTAATGCATTTTAATTTAAAACTTTGAAATATTTGTTGTAGATTATTTTTAATATTTTTGCCATTTAAAAATGTTTTATACTACAAAAACTATAAAAATACTTTAAATAAAATAAACATTTAATTGAAATAAAATAAAACTAAAATCTTAAACTTATTTTAGCTAGTTGCCAAGGCAACATTTCTCATTTTTGTTTAGTTTAGGTACTAAAATAACTTGAACTAATAAATAAAAATTAAGAAATACTATGTACAAAAAAAAAAAACAAATAAAAACTTTTGATCAATTTCATGCATTTTTTTTTTTTTGTGGAAAAAACAAATACATTACTAGTTAGTCAGCGTGCATATGTAAAATTTAAATTGACAGTCAGAAACACAAGTTGTGTTCACTAATGAGGTAACCATAGCAACAGTCAGCCGCTTTAGTACTTTACCTTGGGATTGTTAGTAAAACATATATACCATCACTATTTATCGCTTTATTGTTGATTTGCATAATGCAAATATATCACAAAAAGCATTTGAAAAGTGAAGAAGAAACATGATTCAATATTAACAGCTGACACTTTTTTTTCTTTTCAGGCATTCAGACCAATCAATAATAAATACAGATTAACCTGACAATAATGTACATTTTGATTAATACGTTTAGAAAAATCTGCCAAATATGTAATGCAGTTTTAAACAGAATTAAAAATGCTAAAACTTCTCTTGCTTTTGCTTGTCTCTTCAGCTTTACTTTTTCTTTTTTCCCCTGTTCTTCTACTTCAGTAGAAACAGAACATGTTGTTTCAGGACATTCCTTTGAGCCAATATGTTGTAATAGTTTTTTGGCTCTTTATCATTTGAGCAAATCAAAATTAAATCACAAGAATTTAAGCTCTCCAGCGCAGTGGACACATCTGATCCTCACAGTAGGTAAATCCAGTTAAAATGACCCGTCGTTTGACAGACATCTACACATGGTTTTGTCATTGAAACAGTGCTGTACGTACCTCACTCCTCCAAAAAGCGAATCCAGATGTGTGTTTCTCCCGCAGATGTGCCGCTTTCCTGTTTGCCGTGCTTTAGTGAGCACACGGCATGGCCTGACTCTTAAAAGAATGGATCCACGTTACTCTGATGTCAGACCTGGTCCCCACCCTCCGGCTTTTCCCTCATGTTTTTACTGGAAAACCCAGAAACAGCCGTCTGGAGTCGAACAAATACACAACACAGCATATTTCCCTTTATTGGTCAAGATACAGACAGAGACAGAGTCTAGGGGTGTCTGTGACCCCTCAAGTCTTTCTTTAATGGGTTTTAATCTCGCTTGGCAGTTTATTTGTCAGTTTTAATGCTCTGAATCAGAGAAATAAAGTCATGACCTCGTAAAAGTGTGTTTATAAATCCACCAACATCCCAGCTGCTGCTGACATCATTATGGGGGTGAAAATAGAAAATTGAGAATTTTTCGAGTGATGAATCTGTGCCAGAAACCAATCTGCTGTTTTTGCATTTGCATTTGATATTTTACACTTGCTGTTTAAAACTGAGGCATCTCTTTAGGCTCAGGGACTCTTTTTGAAGTTTATTGACAGATTATTGGAGTAAGTTTTACAATACAATACCATTTCAGTCTTTCTTCTTCACAATTTTATGTTTAATATAATGTTACTTGCTGTTTCTTTGTAACTAATTGTGAGATTTACTAGCAATTTCTGAGTAAAAAAAAAATCCAAAAGCATAGCAACACACTGGCAACCACCCACAACCTCCTGAACACCATGTAAAAATGTAGTTTCTTCATTTTCCTTTTAATAACAGACATGCACAATAAAGCTGATTATCTTACCAGCTATCAGAGAATGTTCTCATGTTCTGACAAGGTTTTCTCAAAATTTAGAATAACATTCATCAAGTAATGTTAACAGAATGTTCATTTAAAGTTATCTGGTCTTTAAGAATGTTCTCAAAACATTAGCAGAAAAACATTATCTAAACGTCATTCTGGAAACGTTCTAACGTATTTAAAATGTTGTCAAAAGTAACATTCTCATAACGTTTGCAAAATGATAAAATGGAATGTTCACTTAACGTTCACCGAGAAAAAAACTTTTTAAAAACATTTAAAAACTGGACGTTCTGAGAACATTCAGAAATATCGTTATTTGTAACCTAACGGTAATGTTAGCAAAATGTTCTCAGAACATATTTTCGTTAGCTGGGTGGTTCTTTAAATCTATTCCTCTGTAAAACATCTGAATCAATGATTAACAATCCTATGAAACAACTGTCTAAAAGGTTTAATAAAATCATAATATGGTTGGTTGCTGAGGTGTTCTGAACTTTATTGTCTTCAAAATGAAACCTCAGCTCTGATGGGAAAGAGTTTCAGTGTTTGCTTTGTGTGGGGCTCTGAAACATTCAATGTTTATTTGAATCAATTCCACTGTCATTTCCATTTAAAAATCACAATGGAGGCAAGGAGACACCACAAAACCATTATTGAGCTGTTAGTTTACGGACCTCAAGATTAAACTCACTTCTCAAAAGTGTCTCATAGGCCCTAATGAGAGCGCCATTTAGCACTTACCGAACACTTACTGTACACTAGTGGTTTTATTGCTCTGTTGAGAATATGCAGCTGTCAGACGTTACTAATGCAAGTCACACTAATGCTAATGGATCTCTGATAGTGGTTCAGTAACTATGCTTTCTGAAGTAATTACATTTCGTTTGCTATGTTCGGAAAGGAATACTAGCATACTGCATACATAGTGTGTACTATAATTTTAACAGAACGCATTACGCAGTGATACGCATTTTAAACAGTAGTATGCTGCGCTGTTGTCAGGTGAGGACATCCATTTGGCATAAAAACAGAAGTTTGGCATTTTTAATCCAATTTTGAACAAAAATGTCTTAGCTTTTGGCAGTTTGATCAAATAGTAAGTCAAGAAGTAGATATTAGGGGGGGGGGGGAATGATATTATGATCTATTGATGATATTTTTTGTCACGCAGGAAATAGGTCAAGTTTAGTGCATTGCATTTTAGGAGATTTTGCTGCATAATATTTCTGTGTAAAATATGCAATATTTTATTTTTCAGTATTCTTTGATGAACAGAAAGTTCAAAAGAACAGGATTATTCAAAATCTTTTGTAACTTTAAAAATGTCTTTACTGTCACTTCTCTTTCAATCACTTTAATGGATCCTTGCTAAATAAAAGTATATTAATTTCCACAAAAATGTGCTCTGAGACAACTGTTTGCAACACTGATAACAAACCAGAAATGTTTCTTGAGCAGCAAATCAGCATATTATACTGATTTCTGAAGATCATGTGACACTGAAGACTGGAGTAAATGACAGTTTAACAGATTTTCACAGAAAACAGTTCTTTTAAATTGTAATAATATTTCACAATTTTTTTCTGTTTTTGCTGTATTTTTTGGTGAGAAGAAGAAACATCTTAAATTAAAAAAAAAAAATCTTAATAATTCCAAACTTCTGACCAGTAGTTTCGGTCATCCAAGTATGCCATGCATGCAAAAATAGCATGTTTTGGATGCATATTCTATATTGCAGAAATCTGAATGGTGCTTGTGTCAATTTTTTTCCCGAAAATAGGACAATGTCTCGGTGAAATTATGTGGTTCAGTGGATTCAGTTCTGGGATGTAGATTCAACACTGTTCCCTTGGGAAAGACACTTAGTCAAATAGAAATGCAGTTCAAAACCAATTTTTCTTAAATAGCATGTTTTGGATGCATATTCTATACTGCAGGAATCTGAATGGTGCTTGTGTCAATTTTTTTCCCGAAAATAGGACAATGTCTGGGTGAAATGATGTGGTTCAGTGGATTCAGTTCTGGGATGTAGATTCAACACTGTTCCCTTGGGAAAGACACTTAGTCAAATAGAAATGCAGTTCAAAACCAATTTTTCTTGCAAAGTCTGATTAATTTATGAGTCAAGACTTTGATCACAGAAATAAATTACAGTTTAACAGATTTTCACAGAAAACAGTTCTTTTAAATTGTAATAATATTTCACAATTTTTTTCTGTTTTTACTGTATTTTTTGGTGAGAAGAAGAAACATCTTAAATTAAAAAAAAAAAAATCTTAATAATTCCAAACTTCTGACCAGTAGTTTCGGTCATCCAAGTATGCCATGCATGCAAAAATAGCATGTTTTGGATGCATATTCTATACTGCAGGAATCTGAATGGTGCTTGTGTCAATTTTTTTCCCGAAAATAGGACAATGTCTGGGTGAAATGATGTGGTTCAGTGGATTCAGTTCTGGGATGTAGATTCAACACTGTTCCCTTGGGAAAGACACTTAGTCAAATAGAAATGCAGTTCAAAACCAATTTTTCTTGCAAAGTCTGATTAATTTATGAGTCAAGAAAGGATGTTCAATGAGAGAAAAATGCAGGTCCAGGCTTGATTATCCATTGGGAATTGGTTGGATCATGAAAAGGGCTGTTACTTACTAGAATGGAGTCAGATGGAAGATCATTTTTAAAGATGGGGCAAGTTTAGCATGAAACAGTGATCAGCTAAAACATGTTTGGCAATTTTTCCTGCAATACCGTCATCATGATGTTAGTGGAAAAGGAAAGCGAGTTACTGCATTTTGATTGAAAGATTATGAAGGCAATGCAGTCGTTCTGAGCAGCATGTGTAAAGAAGGTAAATGCAACCGGTATTTAAACTCCAGATTTCATTCTTTGTTTTGTTTGAGATCACTGCAATATATTGAGCCAATATTAATGACATTCTCAGGATTGTAAGAGACGCGTGCTTTCATCAAAAGCAATATGTGAAGAGAGTCCAGAAAATACTGGACATGTTTGGCAACTTGAGCAGATGGAAATGATTTAGAGAGTTTGAAATCATATTTTCAAGCACAGATCACAGTTGCTGAAGTGCTTTGGTTTGCTAATAAACACAATGACTGACCGCAGTCAGCATGTTGTGTAAATGTTTATATGAGTTAGCATGTTAAAATGACAAAATTCTGTTATGTCAGATGGAAATTCTGAGATGTTTTGTTCATAAGTAAACATCCTATTGGATGGACTGATGGGTCACTTTCACTGCTCAGACCGTGGACACTTCACACATACCAAATGTGTTAACACATGAAGAGGATAAAAATTGTTTCTAAACTATATCACCATTCTCCAGTTGGTTGATTACACTAAAACTTGTGAACTTTCTGTATTACAAGTTTTCTGAAATGTAACATTGGATAAAGTCTAAAAGTTCAAAATTCTTGTTTGATTTTGATTTTGTTGACGTACTAGAGTTAAAGGCTTTTACAGAGCGGATTTTGAATTTCTCTTTTTATCACTCCATAAATCAGAAAATAAATACTGTCAACAGACAGAAAGAAGTGCTATGTTTTTAGGAATGAAATGTTGTATAAAACCAGGCGAATGATATATGAATAAACCCCTCAGTAAAAACCTTCATAGAAGTAAAACTGTAAGTTTTGTGTGGAAGTGCTGCTGAAGCGGAGATGAAAACTAAAAACATATGCTGTAATAGAAATCTACAGCTGTAAATAGAGAAAGTGCAATGAAATAAATACTTAAATGTGTATGTTGCATATTTTCTTTCCACTAGTCTGAAACATGTTATAAAAAGCCAAATTAAACAGTGTGTCACGAATACGGTCCATTGAACTTCCGTCTGCTTGCCACCAGAGGTCACCCTTCCATTACATTGACTCTCGCACTACACAAACTGTTGCATGTCATCCCGGACTACATATCCCATCATCCATTGCACTGATTGCACACAGCTTTAACCAATCACACATTCACTATATAACACTCACTCAAACAGCCATTCACTGCCGAGTATTGTTTAGTGCCTATCACTCACCTAGCGATAGCTACTCTACGGTGCCATTTCTAGTTTTCCTTGTTTAGTCTTAGTCTTGCCTTGCCTTGCCTGTTTTCTCGTGTTCTGATTCCTGCCTGTGTTTCTCGGATTGCCCTTTTGTCTCGCCGTTCGGACTCTGTTTGCTCCTGCCTGGACTATTGCTCGTGTTATTGGATTTC